TGTTTTGAGAATGATGAGGGCAATGAATGTACAAATGTGCTTTACACAATTGATATATGTATGGATTGTGATAAGAGTTGTATGAGCCCCTAATAAAACAATTTAAAAATAAAATAAAATAAACATGCTACATAAAAAGAAGAATTTAGATACAAAGATTAATGGTGCCCAAATTAAAAATAATCCAACATGCACACTAAACAAGTGCACTGCCATGAAAGCAAGAGAATTGCTGAGAGTTCTGAGCAGGTTTGGGGGATTGAACAATCCCAGATTAGACTCCCTATAACACTAGATAACCAATGAATAGGTCAGATAATACCTACTATGGAACAGGACCCCTCCAACTAAGTAGGTGTGTTTAAGTGTAATAAGGCAGAGGATAGACAGATCTGGGGACAGATGTGTTTGCAACTTACAGATGGAAGACAGTTGAATGGGAATATGAAACAAAACTGATCTGGAGGACTCAGAATTTGCCTTTTGTCCGCAAAGCACTGACTCCTTCAGTTATGAGAGGGACTTAAATGGCCCCCAAACTTGTCATTAGCCAGTGAGACTTGTGAATTTTCTAGGCAACCTGCAGTTACCCTTAAGGATCGCAAATTTGAGATTTAAACTATATGCATATTAAGCATCTGCCTTTATTTGAGAAAAAAATGACAGCTTCAGACATCTGAGGCAAAAATATACAAGATGTGTTACTATTAGCATGGATTTTATCCTCTAATATGCACAGAAACTCCGAGGTATTATCCCACTAAGTATTATTTCAAGTTCCGTAGCATAAGGGCTTGGTCATACACAACTGGAACTAACACCTGGAACCGCTTCTCTAAATAAATACTCAAACCATAAGCCACTGCCTTTGAACTTGACTCTGCTCATAGAAACCCTATAAGACAGAGTAGAACTTCTCCACAGGCTTCCTGAAGTTATAAATTGTTACAGGAGAAGACTAGCTAATCTTTTTCCTGTGGGTGTGAACATCAACCTTTGGTTAGCAGCTAATTGCTAGTTCACAGTGCCACCAGGTACTTAAATAAACATTTAACGAAACAATAAAAACCACCGCCAGCAAGTTCATTCTGACTCAAAGTGACCCATAGGGTTTCCAAGACTATAAATCTTTAAGCAAGCAGACAGCCTATCTTTCTCTCTCAGTGAAGCTGGTGGACTTGAACTGCTGATCTTGTGGTTTAATATCTCAAGACCTACCCTAAAATGCACCAGGGTTGCATTAAATAAACACCAAATCAAATCAAGTGCCATTAAGTCAATTCTGACTCACTGCAATCTTATAAGATAGAGGAGAAATGCTCCTTAAGATTTTTGTGACTGTAAATCTTAGTGGAAGAATAGTTTCATCTTTCTCCCTTGGAGAAGCTCATGGGTTTGAACTACTGACTTTGGCAGTTGGTAGTACTCCTTACTAAATAAACATCAAATCAAAAGCCAAACTCATTGCCATTATGTAGATTCTATAGGATAGAATAAAGCTACCTTATAGGTTTAAAACCAAGAATCCAAACTCATTGCCATGGAGTTGATGCTGACTCATACTGATCCTATAGGACAGAGTACAACTGCCCCTGTGAGTTTCAAAGACTGTAAATATTTACAGGCATAGAAAGTCTCATGACTGTCCTGAGGACCAACTCAACTTGGAAACACTATGCCATCCGGGGTATAAATTTGGGGGGAGCAGAAAGCCTTCTCAGTTCAGAGGTCCTGGTCGATTTAAAATTACTGATGTTTGGGCTAGCAGGGCACTCAAACTCGCTACAACACCAGAGGTCCTAAGTAAACACCAAAGCCAAACCAGACTCACTGCCATCAAGTTGATTTTGATTCATGATGATTCCAACTCATAAAAATCCTATAAGGACAGGTAGAACTGCCCCTGTGGATTTCCAAGCCTGCAACTCCTTATGGAAATAGAAAGCTTTCTTTTGCTCCTATGGAGCAACTAGTAGTTTTGAACTGCTAAACTTGTGGTTAGTCGCCCAATACATATTCACTAAATTACCAAGAATCATCCTAAATAAACACTAAACTCAACTCATTACCATTGAGTCTATGCCAACTCAAAGAATGAACAGCTGTCCATATATTTGCTTACTTAAAGAGATTCGGTGAGGAATGCAAGGCTATGAAAAATTTAGCATCTTGAAATTAAGCCCAGATTTAATAACCAATTCAAGGATCTTAATCCCTCTCTTATGTATACATTTTATCACCATTGAGTTGATTCTGACTCATAGCTAACCTACAGGACAGGGTTGAACTGCCCTGGTGGGTTTCAGAGACTGTAACTCTTTACTGGAGTAGATAGTTTCATCTTTCTCCCCACTGGTGGTTTTGAACAGCTGACCTTACAGTTAGGAGCTTAACTTAAAGGCAAGTAAGCCACCCAAACTCTTCTGTAACATATAAAGAGTAGTTTTCTTAAAACATTCCTTCACATTTTATTGTTCAGGTTATTTCATGTGGTTTACGTATTTTAATTATTTTTGAAATTAGATTTTTTCTATGATGTTTTCATGAATGATTGCTATATACAATTTTAAAAAGGTTGATTTAATATACTTTTTCCTATCCAGCTACTTTTTGAAAGTATTTTAATGTATATCTTAGCATATAGAAGACTTCTTAGACAACAATGGTGATAGAATAGGTTCTAGCTTTTGGAAACTTCAGTAATTCTTATCAAGAATGATATCAGTATATCACAATTAAGCATGCTTGCTATTAATTTGACTGTGAAACTTAAAATCAAAAAAATAATCATCAATGATTAAAATAAATGTTTTTATTAAGAATGAGTGCAGATTTTTATTAAAGACTTCATAGCACTCATTAAAAAGATCAGATTTTTTCTTATTTGAGTTAGATGATACAGTGCAATAATGGAAATGGTATTAAGGCATCATTAAAATCACATTGACACTTTTCCTATATTTCTTTCCCTGTACTGTTGAATTTCATTAATCATCCCTTTATATCAGATTTTCATATTAATATTTATGATTCAGGTCCACAATTTGTGGGTGGGGTGTGTGTGAGAGAGAGTGAACAGTCTTCTATACTGGTATTGAAACTATAATTGTTTTCCTGTTTTGAAACATATAGAGATCATAACATTTTCAAAATTTTGTTAGAATAATAATGAATGATTCACTATAAAACTAAAGAAATATGAATACCATGTAGATACTAGAAATATATTACTGGAGAATTTAAATACCATGGAAAGTGATAATGCTATGATAATATGTAAAAAATATGAGAATGTACTTTTCAGCTCATAAAAAATCTCTATATAAAAATTAATAAAAGAAAAAAATTTTTATTTTAAGTTACAATTTTTTCTCATAAATACCATACAGAATCTCTTATTTCTAAATCCAATTGGGACAAAGCTATGGTTTTAGAATTTGAAAAAGCATTTTAAAGAATAGAATAAAACTTTATAAATATTTAGAAAATAGACAATAAGGGAATTGTTCTTGTGACAAATCTGATAAATTCTTAGGTTAAAAAAGGAACTGATTTTGAAAAATCTAAAAAGAACATCGAGTTAAGAGGGGAGGAATGTGAGTTGGAAGAAACGACAGTACTTTCAGGTACATTTAATTTACTTTTTATCTATCAGTAAGGATATTTCAGTTATCTAACAGATTAACTGGCTAGAGCACATTAAAAAAAATGAAGCTCTCATACTTCTCTCCTTTAAACTTAGTCTATCTGAAGTAAGATAGTGAGCACAGGAATTATACAATGCTAGAATGGAGGTCATCAACGTTAAAGGTCATCAACATTCAACTTGTCTTATAGAGAAAATTAAACAGGCGCCATTTAAACTGAAGAATACATGTATCCAAGCTTCTTACAGTCATCACGGAACTGCTGCCAATAGTTCCTGTACAAGTAACCTTACTGAGTCCGCAGGTCTACTTACCATGCCACTGTAAGAATGGCGCAGCAATATCGCATGTCCATAGAGCAACGTCCGATGACCGCCTCCTTGAGCAGTCTGCACAGAGAAAGGGGAGAAGACAGAGAAGCACAGAACTTAAGCAATAACTTCAGAAATGCTGTGTAGTAGAAAAGAATAAAGTAAAAGCTGCCGCAGACAAACAAAGTGCTGTGGCAAGAAAACTTACAATAGGTAAAGCAAAAACAAACAAACCAAAAAATAATTTTGTGGGATTAGTATTTTATCTAGTTCGTGAACACTGGGAGTCATCTTGCCCCCAATCTTTTCCACATCCCCAGTAAGCTTCCCTGGCACTTAAAATACAAACCCCTGTGGAGCCCTGCCTAGCACAGACCCTACTTTATGTCCTATCTGTACCTCATGTACTCCCTTTACTTCACTCCAGCTATACTCTTCTTTTCACAGAAAAAGTAGAAGAGCCTACTATTACTCAAAATACTAGAAATAATTTAAGTTTTAGGATGTTAAAAATCCAAATATAACATCCCCCTCCCATGCAGTTAAAAAAAATTAAGGGTAATTCTTCAAAGCTTCCTAATTCAGGAAGGAGGCTAGCAAGGTCATTAAGATAAGTAGTCAGGCATGAAGCATCTTCATTTAGAGGCATCAGGAATGGCATCAGTAACATCTCTTGTGTTGGATAAACAAGGATGCATGAAGTGTCCAAATTCTGTCTTGGGAGAAGTACAGGCAGAATATTCTTTAGGATGAGGGCAATGAATGTACACATGTGCTTTACACAATTGATGTGTGTATGGATTGTGATAAGAGTTGTATGAGCCCCTAATAAAACGATTAAAAAAAAGAAAGGATATTGAGATTTTGCCTCATATACTTTGGACATGCTGTCAGGAAAGACCAGTCCCTGGAGAAGGACATCATGTTTGATAAAGGATAGCAAATAAGATCAATAAGTTGAATTCCAGACTTACACTTTCATACAAATTCAAGTTTACGTAAAATCTAACTGCCTTTAGTTTGATTCCATGAATTAGAATAATATTTGAATTGACTGTATTTCCCAGTATGCAGATAGATAGCTATTATACTACTTATATTCAGTATTGTACTTTAATATAGTTCTTGAAAGTTGTTTTTTTTAGATGGTGAATTCAATGCCGCTCTACAATGTGCCATTCCCAGCACAGCAAACCATATGATAGTATGATTTAAAATGGCCAATACCAGTCCATTTTAGCTTATTAATGCATAGCACATCAATCTGTATGCATTCCATTTTTCGTGACTTGCACTTTTCCTAGATCCACACTTGGCATAATCCAGTTATTAATTATGCGTAAAGCTGTTTCTCCACATTTTTACTCATGACCCACCAGCAAATGAAGGTTCTGAAGGCTTCACTCCAACTGCATCATTCTTGTCGACTCTACTTTCAGAAGGGAGCTGTTTTTACGTCATATTTTGAGTGCCTTCCAATCTCAAGGGCTCATCTTCTGGCACTATAGCTGATAACGCTCTGCTGTCATGCATGAGGTTATTAGTATCAGACCATGTTCCACTGTGATTCAAAAGGTTTTTGGTGGCTATTTCCTCAGAGGTGGACAGCCTATTTCTCCTTCGCAGTCTGTTCTTAGTTTAGACACTGTTGAAAACTGTTCACTTTGAGTGATTCCTCGGGTATGTAAAATAGCAGTGGCATCCGTTCTACCATCATAGCAACACAAAAGCCACCATAGCATGGCAATATGATAGACAAGTTGTGCTCTTCATAAATAATATGTGTATATATATATATGTATATATGTGTACATAAACGCACACACACATACAAACACATGCACACATCCCAAATAAAAACCACACCAGTTGCTGTTGAATCCATTTTAACCTACAGTGACCAATTCGTTGTACAGACTAACGTGTTCCATAGCGTTTTCAAGGCTATTACTTTTTGGAAGCAGTTGTGAGCTTCTCCTGATGCACTTCTAGATGGGTTTGCATCACCAAGCCTTTGGTTAGTAGTCAAGTGTTTAACCATTTATACGACCCAGGGTAATGTGTGTATGTCACTCTCCCTCTCTCCCTGGCTCTCTCTCGCTCTTGATATACATATTGACACACTTATATGCACATACATGGATAGATGTAAATATACATCTAACATATATGTATGCATGTATATAACTATATATAAAATATATAAATATACACAAAGACATATATTAGAGAATCCAACTGATCCTGTCCAGTGCAATCATGATCAATACAGTGAAATGGAAACAGACCTGAGTTTGTTTAATATGGGTGTACTGACTGGAACAGAAGCGGAAGTATAGTCAAAGCCCTAGAATAGGCAAATTAATAGTCAAAGTCTTAGAATAGGAAGAGCCTGATATGAAAGACTGTTTTATTTCCAGCATTATGAAAAGTGACATACATTAAAAGCTGTACTATTGGCTGTCATCTTTGAATGGAACAGTGACATTCCAAGTCTATTGGTCAAGAGATTTGGTTGCTATACAACACAAATACAGCTCCAGTTTTCTAAAATGAAGATAACGTTTCTAGCAGGGGATTGGCCTATAATATTTCCCTTTTGGTTATTATTCTGTTCATAGTTTTACAAATTCTGATATTTTCTGGTCTTACTTTGTTGGTATGACTGAATCAGGCTGAACGTGCTCAAAGTCCTGAAATACATCTTTAAATTTAATGTTCTACTTAGTTAGCTAAGATGTTATATTTTAGTATGTGGATTTTTTTCTATTATAGATTTTACATTTTAGACAAGTCTAGATTTTTCATGCTAACACAACAGATTAAGTTTTAATAACACTCTTGTAAAAATCTGAAAATAAGTTATTAAAGTTTTATTTTACTTAAAAGATAAATCTGTTGTGAAAACTAGGTGAATGTAATTTCAGCTCATGGTCTTCAGTACTCTGCCTCTAACCTGTATTCTAATTGGCTGTGACTTTTTTAAAAAACCAACATGACTATTTCCACTCTTGGACAGACCGGGTTTTATCCAACAAACATTTATCAAAATAAATGTATATGTGGGATATGCATAAAGAAATATCTTGATATTGTTCTGTGTCAATATTCTTTTCAAATTTGGCCTAAGTCTGGCTTTAATTTACTTCAACAAATGCTTATGGACTCCCTCTAATGTAAAAATGATCAGAATCTAACTAGGATGATCATAAGATTTTGCCACATCTACAGTTATTCCTTTAGACCCTAAGCATACCATCTTAGGTATACTCCGAGACTACTCAAATACTCAACAAACAAACAAACAAAAAACACAAAAGAAAGAAATGTCAGTGTATCACACAAAAGAAATTTCAATATACCCCTAACAGTTGTCCAGTACTCAGAAACAAGATTTCCATTATACCTCCAAACCCCCCAAAATTTAAACAATAAACACACTGAAATTACCATATTTAGATATGAGGATCCACGGAGGAATAATTAATTGACAGTATGACAAGCTAGTTAGGCAAGCTTAAAATTGGCCAACAGATCAAGGTAAGAGTTAAAAAAAAAGACCTTGGTGTTTCAAGTTTACAAATTAATTGTCCTTTGGGATCAAGAACACACAAAATAAATGCTTTTAATTTTACCAAATTACAGTGAAACCAGAAAATTAATTGGTACAAAACACAAACTTTCAATTCACATTAATGCTAACTATATGTTAAGTATTTACATTAATTCTCTAATCAAGAATAGCACATAAATGACACACTCTTTGCAATTCATTTAAAAAATATCTGTTGGTATGAGAGGCACAGTACAAGTGCAGAAGACATTATGCAAAAAGCTCCCAAACTGCATTCCTCTGCCTTGAAAGTGAGTTTGCCCTGAAAACTCTAGTCATTCATTCAATAAACAGTTACTGCTCCTCAAGCAATTTCTTTCCAAATATTTTTACTCTAATAGCAAATAAAATGGAGATTTTAAAATCATATCATTTTACTGAACACTTCCAGCTACATGAAAGATGTAGTTTAATTCTTTTAGTAAAAGCATTGTCTGGACTTACATGTCTTTACAGCAAATCCCCAAAGGTGGTGTAGGTTTGACCTCACCTTGGAAATGCAAGCTACCAGTATACTGCTGTTATCCTCTTAATGAACTTCACCAGATTTTTTTTTTCAATGGTCTTCAGCAGCACCAGGAGCCTATAGAATAGTCTCTGGGACTACTGTCATTATCTATAGGATACCCAGAGTCCCTGGGTCATTAAATACATTTACTGCAACTGAAAGGTTTGAGTATAACGAGGGTGTCTCAGAAGAAAGGCCTGGCGCCCTATATTTGAGCTATCAGTCATTGGAAACACACCCCATCACAATGAGTCAGCATTGACTCAACAACAATTGGTTATCATGATGGTTTATGTCAAAGAATTGTTTCTCATTTATGAGAAAAATATCTAAACTCTTCACAATTTAATAAGATATACAATTTGATTTTGAAAATATCGCTTATAAAATATTTATTTCTATATGTGGGTTTAGCTTTCTTATATTGAGATGATGAGCAGGGGTAACGTTGAACAGGTGTCTAAAACAACCACATGAAAGTTAAGTAGACAAAAACAGCCCAGAGTACACACTACTTACAAACTATTTTACAACCAACTTAGTATTTTTAGGTATTCCTGTGCCTCTAGCTTTCCAGAATCTTGTTTAGAAATATACAATTAGAGAATGAACTGAATAGATATTTCTACATTAGTGTTTCTAAAATTTTTAAATAGTTTTATTGACATATGATCCACATATCATACAGTTAAATTATTTAAACATATTAAAAATAGCCATGTACACATAAATGCCATCAATTTTAGAACATTTTCTTCGTTGTACTCATTGTTATTAGGTCCCCATTTTCCCACCACCACCTCCACTTCCATAATCCCAAGAAATTATTAATTCAGGTACTGTATGTGTTTTTCTATCCTAGATTTCATATAGAGAAAACATGTACATATATGTGCGCATGCAAACACATACACACAAAAAACAATAACAGCATATAACACATAGGAAAACATCAGT